CGGGAGCGGCGGGGAGGGACACAGGCTGGGAGCAAGGACTGGATCTGCGAAGCAACAGCGACCCCCTCGAGGGTCAGGCAGGCCCGGGCAGCCGCGGCCCGGGTTCCTTCCTCCGCCGCTCGGCTAACGCCCCCTTCCCCGAAGGTCTGGGGGACGCTCGGAACGGAGGTGTTCCTGCGACCAGGGTCGAGACAGGGGTCGCGTGAGCGGCGCAAGGGGATATTCCCCGACAGAGGCCGAGCGGACCTCAGAACGCCGGAGGCTTCATCCATCAGCGCACCAGGCACTTCACCCCTACGCCGAGCGTGCGCGAGTGCACGAACTCCGCCCCCTTAAATAAGGCAAGCCCCGCCAATTATCCCATTGTACAGATGTATGTACCCTGAAGCCTAGCGAAGACCCGCGATTAGCCCAAGGCAAATGACAGAGCTGAGATGGAACTCAAGCCTCACACTTCCAGAGTGTGCTCTAGCTTTTTTCTACCTCGGTTTCCCTCTCACTAGCGTTGGGGACCATGGAGCTCTGGGTGGACTGCTTGGCTTGCACACGTTGACCAGCTGTGATTCCAGATATATTCCCCCGCCCTCTCCTCCCGGGTTTTAAACTCTGCATGGCCGAAATAGAAACGACTCGTAACGAGGTGTCAGTCCAACAGTGGAGGTCTCGTGGGGGCTGGCACGCGCTGGAAAAAGTTGCCCCCTTCTTCGCACTCTCACTCACCAAAGCTCTGTGGGCTCCGTCTCTTTCAATCCAAGGCTCCTTGTTAACTATACCCGTAAATCTGTCATTTATCACCCCCACCCAGTCACCACAGGGCAGAGACAGCCCTTTCCTCTAGCTGCCTGTGGGTGAGCACTCACTCTCTGGATGGGACCCCTTGTCACCCAGTGGGACAGAGCTGAGTTTACACGCTGCAATCTCATCTTCCTCCACTCCCTCCTTTTCCTGCTCCTCTTTTTATCCCTTCCCCCTTCCTTTTTCTCTTCCTCCATCTTCCCCCTTTCCCCCTCTTTCCCCTTTTCTTCTTCCTGCCCATTTTCTTCTACTTCTTCCTCCACATCCAGCCACAGACCGCCTTCTTTGTCTTCCACGTGCCCCCTATGCAATGAATACCTACATTCCTGGAGCTTCCCCTTTATAGGGAGTAATGACTTTCATGCCAATCCAAGTGTGTGTGTCTCTTCCACTTCTTGTCTACCTGTAGCCAAGATCCTCCCAGAGTGCCCACCCCCCACCAAGCCACACAGGAAGCAGGACAGCTCAACAGGTTCTTGGCAAACACTTCTCCTGGGGCATTTCCATCCCCTCATGGCAAAACCCAGCTCTCCTACCCTAATGACTGCCCACTACTGTGCTCCACTGATAGATACCAGGTAGGGCTTGCCACTTCTTAACCTTATGGTATAAGGGAAGATGGTCCACAAAAGGTTAATCACTTACAGGATGATATGGCATAGCACAAGGGCAAGGGCACTGGATGACCCCAGGCAGAAACCTCCTCACGCCTAATCCCACCCCTCGGTCTCAGTGTCCCCACCTGAACTGGTCTGATAGACAGATATCTTCCAGCTCTGATGCCCCTGGCTCTTGTAGGCTGGCTTTGAGCTGCCACAGAGCAATCAGAAATTACTACCCCTCTCTGTGCTTCAAAGAATCCCTGGTGGCACAGTGGGTTAAGCATTGGACTGCTAACTGAACGGTTGGTGGTTCGAACACACCAGCTGCTTCGTGGGAGAAAGACAAGGCAGTCTGATTCCATAAAGCTTTACAGTCTTAGAAACTCTGTGAAGCTGTTCTAGTCTGTTCCATTGTTGTTAAATGCCGTGGGGTCAGTCCTGACTCATAACGACCCTGTATTGGGTTTCTGAGGAGTGGCTGGTGAATTTGAACCTCGAACCTTGTGATCCAGTGCTTACCCTACAGCGCCACACCAAGACATAGGGTCAGAATTAGAATCCACTGGACAGAATCAACTGGACAGCAGTGGATTTGATTTGATGTGCTTCCGTTTCTCACCCTGTGCAGAATGTGAACTTGGAGGTGTTAGATGATATGGATTCATGCAGGGAGCATGCCAGACTGGAATGATTCAGCCAATCTTAACCTGCCTATGGCCACACCAGTGGTCCTATGATTAGAGTGGGCCTGCATCATCTCCCTACTTGGACCTAAACCCAAGTCTTGGCTCTGCCATTGTCCACTCTGGGCCTCAACACTTATGACTGAGCAGAAGGCTGAGGTTACTGCCTATTCAAAGAGGCTTTGGATTTGGGGAGCCATGAATCTGTACTGAAATCCCAGGAGAGAAATGTCCTGGCAGAGACAGACTCAGAGGTTGGTTTGGACTGAGGAGCCCTGTACTTAGAGGAAGTTCAGACCAGGGATACCTCAAAGGGGTTGAGAATTGCTGGGAGGTCAGAATGCATCATCATCGGCTGCTTGATCTACAAGTACTCACTATATGCCAGGCTGTGTGGTCAATCCTTCAGGAAAGGATCCCAGAAAGGTTGAGAAACTAGTCACTGATTGTAGTTTTTAAAGACAGTCACATTACTATGTATGTCGTCTTAGCTGCTCTTCCTACAAGGTGGCATTGGCAATCCTCCCATATGACTGGTGCAGTGGTGGGATCTAGGTTCCCTCCCTTTCACCCTGAGCAGATCTTTGTGACTGCCTCTGGACTGCCAAACACAAGGTTGGCGGTTTGAACCCACCGGCTGCTCCACAGGAGAACGAAGAGACTTTCTGTTCCCACAAATATATACAGCCTCATAAAACCCAGACAGGATTGCTAGGAGTCGGAACTGACTTGGCGGCACTTAACAACAACAACAACCAACATGACATTGGAGGAAGTAATACTGTCTGACTTCCAAGGCTAGACCATAAAAGGCAATGTGGTTTCTGCTCAATTCTCTTTCAATTTCTCTCTCTCTCTTGGGCCATTCACCCTTAGAACCCAGTCACCATGTTTGGGAGGAAGCTCAGGCTTCATGGAAAGACCACAGGGAGGTGTTTCAGCCAAACACTTGCATTCTGGTCCCAGTTAATAGCCAACCAACATCAACCACCAAACATATGAGAGAGGGAGACCGCAGATGATTCAGCCTCCAGGTTTAGGGCTGCTCCAACTGACCTCAAATGGAACAGAAATGAAATGTCCCATGGACTCTGTCCAAATTGCAGTTTTAGTTTTGTGAGCATAATAAATGTTGTTTTAAGCCATTCTGTTTTGGGGTAGTTTGTTACGCAGCAGTAGGTAACTGGAATGCTTGTCCAAGGTTACCAGCTTGTTCTGGCAGAGCTGGGCTTGAGTTGAACCTGGAGCTTGTTGTAATGCACTATGAGACTGTAAACTGTTCAGCTCAGTGTGTGCTCTATAAAGCTCTACTTACAAAAGGATGCAGCCGTCAACGAGATTGTAAGCATTAAGTATCGGCTTTTAAGAAATAAAAATGCTGATTACGCAAAGGAAAAGCAGCTACTAAATTGACCAGCATGATGAAAATAGAATGGAGACGACATCCTGGAAGAATTCAAAGAGAAGTAATTTTTAAAGTAAAACTAAACATTTCTATAATATTCAACATAACTTTGGCTTAATCATGAAAAACATTGATGTTGAAGGGTATTTTACAAAATACCTGACCAACGCTCTTCAAAAGTATTAAGATCATGAAAGACAAGGAAGGGCCAAGAAAGTGTCTGGATTGGAGGAGACTAAGGAAAGGCGAGTGGGCGTAAGAGAGCTCTCTGCAATCCTTCTAGAAATTGAATTACAAATAAATAAGAAAAATAGTAAAACTAAAGCAAAACTTTTCTTTCACTACACAAATCAAAAGGAGCTCTGGGAGCGTAGTGGTTAATCAGGCTGCAAACTGCAAGGTCAGCAGTTTGAAACTACCAGCTGTTCCGCAAGAGAAAGAAGAGGCGTTCTGCTCCTGTAAAGATTTACAGCCTCAGAAACCCTGTACAGGGTCACTATGAGTCCAAACCGACTCCACAGCACATAACCACCACCACACAAATCATGTGAGAAACAAACCATTGGCTGAGGGAGAATTAGCGGAATAGGTAGGGAAATCTACTTTAAATAGGGTAGTCAGGGAGACCTCTCTGAAGAGGTGACATTTTTTTGTTGTTGTTATTCACATGCTATGCCCATTTTTAAATTGGATTGTTTGCCATTTTGTCTGCTGAGTTGTTGACATTTTCTATATATTTTAGAGATCAGATCCTTATCTGATATGTTTTTCTCAATCTATTTT